GTAATAATACCAAAATCAATAACGATACCATTTGGTAGTAAAAGTACCATAATTATTACTAGTAGTCGCACCATAATACTACTATATAAAATAAATAATAGTATTAAAACCATGATATCACTATGGAGAGTTAATGATAGTAACAGTACCATAATATCATCACTATAGAGAAAGTTAATGATAGTAACAGTACCATAATATCATCACTATAGAGAAAGTTAATGATAGTAACAGTACCATAATATCATCACTATAGAGAAAGTTAATGATAATAACAGTACCATAATATCACCACTATAGAGAAAGTTAATGATAATAACAGTACCATAATATCATCACTATAGAGAAAGTTAATGATAGTAACAGTACCATAACATCATCGAAAGTTAATGATAGTAACAGTACCATAATATCATCACTATAGAGAAAGTTAATGATAGTAACAGTACCATAACATCATCACTATAGAAAACCAATACTAGCATTAATACCATAATATCGCTCTAAAGCCACTGCTACTGCACCAACCTTCCAACCCACCACGTGATGAGAGCGAGTCATTACGTCTACTACTAACCCCACTACCTGCAAACAACACTGTCCAAAGCCAAATACAGTAGCATCAAGGTAAACTCTGTCCTTGAGAGGATCACGAGATTGATCAAGGCCACTCTTCTTCAACTCCCATGGTGTCACTGCAGGATCAAAATCAATGCCACCTTGGGAGACAGTATTAACATCCTTGTATAGTGGTGGGGCTATCGCAACCTGAACGATACATATCATGTTATGTAGTAGATAGTAGTAGAGTATACATTAGTAACAGCAGTAGTAACAGCAGTAGTAACAGCAGTAGTAACAGAAGTAGTAACAGAAGTAGTAACAGAAGTAGTAACAGAAGTAGTAACAGCAGTAGTAACAGCAGTAGTAACAGCAGTAGTAACAGCAGTAGTAACAGAAGTAGTGACAGCAGTAGTAACAGCAGTAGTAACAGAAGTAGTAACAGAGGTAGTAACAGAAGTAGTAACAGCAGTAGTGACAGCAGTAGTGACAGAAGTAGTAACAGCAGTAGTAACAGCAGTAGTAACACCAGTAGTAACAGCAGTAGTAACAGTAGTAACAGAAGTAGTAACAGAAGTAGTAACAGCAGTAGTAACAGCAGTAGTGACAGCAGTAATAGTAGTAGATAGTAGTATCTAGTATATAGTTAACAGTAAAAAACCATCCATACCACACCACCATAAACTTCCATTACCTTAGCACCCTTTCTAGCTCTAACAGACTTAGTCAGAGTCTGGAACCGCACATGCGGCGTGATGACCTCATCCGGGACGAGAATACTCTCAGCTGTAGGCCCCTCGAGATGCTCTCCACGATGGGTGTATTCAGCACCCAATGTAGGGAACGCTGGTATGCTCATAACATGAACATTAGCCGGCAGCGCCGCCTCTGCTGTGCGCCGCCGAGAAATAAGACTGGACAAAACTTGCTTGGCAATATCGTCCTCAACGAGAACCAGAGGGGGAACCTTAACGCCTTCGATCATATACGAGGCGTATCTGAGTAGGTAAAATTCCCTAAAATTCTGAGAAAAATTGACAAATTTTTATTACTTTCCGTACATTTCTACCCAAATTTCGAGGAAATTCCCAGACTCGGTTGAGGAAAGAGAACATACATTCCAACACTCGAAAACTACTTTCTCCGGATTTTCTCAATTCCCACTGCTATTAATGGTCACATTCATAAGAAAAAATCAAACCACTCCTACTGTAAGAGTGATTAACTTTTTTTCGTTTCTGTTAGTTTTTTTCTGAAATTTTGTTGTTTCCTAAAACCCAATTTTTCCGTGACTTTTCCTGTGTTGATTTTCCTATCAGAGAAAAACTGTGTGGTACTACACATACCATTGCTACCAGACTACAATCACCATAACACTCCCCAATGTTGCAATATATGTTCGCTCACCTCAGCTGAGCTCAGGAGTTTTCTCACTAAACATGAGAGTTTACATACGAATTTGGGTAAAAAACTAACAAGAATTCCCCAAAAAATTTCCTCATAATTTTCATACTGTCACCAACACATGTGCATATTTTCCCAGCATACCACTCCACGTTGAACATTCCTCGAATAGATTGATACCCCCACCTACTCAGGCTTCCAAGTGTCCTCATCCACCTCATGTAACTTATCAAGGACCTTATCAGCATGATAGTAGGGCTTAGGAGGCGCCTTTTCATCAGAGGGCATGGATGTCAGCATATACTCCATCTGAATAGGAATACCATAAAAATCTCCCACTACAATAAAGAGGTAACAACACGAGCAAAGGCCAATAATACAGAATTATTCCTCTAAACTCACGCGGTCATTCCTAATCACCACGATAATATTATATCCTATTATAATAACCAATATATATCTGATTACATTATATACCCATATATCTATTTACAATGATAACCTTAATCTTAACGGGTGCCTTATAATAACGATAATATAATTGTGTGCGTGCGAGAGGCATGCAGATCCAAGTTCTAGTACAGATCCTCTACACATCTTATGTTGTGTTGAACATGTATACTAACTATAGATAGATTATATCACACGAAAGCATGCCTACAACGGCTACCATATCAGCGATGATGATCCAAAGGAGTGGTATCGGCACAAAAAAAATACCCATAATTACCTCGTCTCCCCAATGGAGCTCCTCCATAGACTTCTTCCAGTCCTTCGACCGCTTCCAGTCGTTTATCAGTTGCTCTATAGCATCCGTCTTGATGGACTACAAAAATAACAACAACCAATAAATATCTCCACGCAGCTTCGCTCCGCTCACCTCATGGTATTTTTTCGCTTCCTCAAAATCAATGGGAGTATGCACGTCGAGAAACCCCATTGTAGCGTAGCGAATCAGTTAAAACGGATTAAAGCGAAAAGAATAGGAAAAATAACTACAAAAACGTGAAAAAATCACATTCCTGCCACGCTTCGCTCCGCTCAAACACCACACCACTGTGATACCAACATAAGCGCTATTCATGGCATTCCTCCTCAGACAGAAACATATTCCTTGGTATCAGCTTCTTCACACACTTTCTACTTCGATTACCTGATAATAGTAAAAATCATTGATGAATTATTGCAGCATCAGACATCAACATAAAACTGTACACCGAATGCAGTCATCACCATCATCATCATAGTTACCATTAGAAGAAGAAGACAGTTGGTAATACCAACTTGGTATTAGGTATAATAACAACATAATAATCAACAACAGCTTTCTAGCGGAGCGATGCAAATAACACTGCAAAGGAAATACCAACCACAACCACCTTACTCGTCGATGGTCCATCTTCACACTTTCACCTCCATCGTTAATACCTCCTTTCGAAGTACATCTGAGCATACAAAAGACAGTCACCACGGCAGACACACAAAAAAGGGGACAGTAGTCGTTTGTGACACTCCGCTGTAAACCGCCAATGGAACTGGGCGAGCGCCAATTACATTTCCATTAATATTTCAAAGCTATACACAAACGTAAATGTTGCCCTCGAAGACTTACAAGACCATACCTGCAATCGTCACTCAGATCCACAACTAATGATGTGCTAAAAAGACAGCACTTACACCACACCAACAGCGTCACTATATTCACTGAGTATCACCAAAATAAGACAAATCTAAGGTTCGCCGTAAGCCTACCTTAGTAACGACAGATCCCAGAGTGTCCAGACGCCTCTGCAAGACTTCAGCATCGGCCTGGAACATCCAACACATGAGCGTATTTTTCCCTCACAAAATTATAAGAATTCTCCCTCAACTGAGTAGAATTTCCACCTGAAATTTCAACGAGGCCTAGATATAGTAATTAACAATCATATACTAGACTGAAATGGTCATATTCCAACGTGTTGGCGAGCGAAAAACCAACACTGCAGAATCTCAAAAAAAAACTCAGTCAAGTGCTGAGTACGTCGACCTCATAAACAAGCCAACTTGCCTTGTGCTGTTGCTTTGTCACCTGGCCGAGAGCGGGGGAGAGAGATCTCTCATCATCATCTAGAAAGGATCTCACTTGGTATCAGTGGCTTCTTGTGTATAAACCACAGCAGGTAGTACCCGTAACCACACTGAGATTTATAACCATCTTACAGTCACGATTCCTCAGCACGTTTATCTCACAAGCATCTTCACTAACCACAATACTTCCAGTGAGAACCTAAGTGAGCCATGAATATCAGTTACTATCACACAAGAGACAATACAAAACGGAAAACTCACTTTCTCACCATCATCGTTGAATAACGTCAACCGTGAACTGGTAGGACTTGGACCTGGTCGCACTAGAGGAGCCTCCTCTTCGAAAGGAAGTTACATACCGTGATAGCACTCGAAACACCATCATTCGAGACGGGGTCGGCAATGCTTCTAGCTTCCGCCATTTAAGAAATATAAACCTTACGAGTATTCCCACACTCCTTCGTTAAACCGTTACTGACCATCACAGCTCAACACGCTGAACTTTCTCTCCCCCCACAACAGTATAGTTTCTAATAATACTCTCTGGTAGCCTTACTTTTCCTTGATTACATTTCCCCGTACACCTCATAGGAACACCATTTAGGGGAGCTAATAAGAGTCCTGGGCCATCACCCATAGCATTTCCACCGTACACGCTTCAGCTGGGCTCTCGACTACTACATTGTACTCGGGCACATGTGGAAGTCACACTTCCATGTGATCAACGAAAATACGACAAGTTTGTCCACCAACACAGAGGGAAATGGGGACAAGTAACACAACGATTGATAAATCTCATGACATGCATTAATCTCGTCAATTACTCTCCTCGAATCGATCAGCATCAGTAGAACCTCTCAGATGTCAAGACACATGGGTGGTTCCGGCATGTACACCACTTGAGAGGCAAAGAGAACAGAATAGACTGGAAGCCATCATCGAAGTGACTATTGCAACGACGGAGACGACGCTATTCAAGACGCTTTCTCTTACTAGCATAAAGAGAAGAAGAATCACTACAACCTCTCCACCCAGATGATCAGGCATACCCGATTTTTGAATTCGATAATGGTGTAGAGGTCAAATTGTTCCATTGAGATGGGGATGGAGTAAGGTTCTATTCTGAGATGCTGCAATTTTCATTTATTTTTTGGCAACCTCTAAGGATCTTGAAAGTCCTCGAGTTCCTTTTCCTCACCCTAGGTTGAGGACTTCCTTACCTTTGTGATACCCAATAAGGGCATTCTGAATCGAGGGAAAATAGCATCGCAGTTTTACTGTAGGTAGAAATCAGTTTGAAAGTTTATGTTACCGTCCCGATTGTGCCGGGCGATCGGGGTTTTCTCCATTCCATGTACATGCGTGCAATGATAGTATAGCGAAAAGTGCAGGGAAATCGTTGCTCTCTTTGGCCTATCCCCTACTGAGGTCTACCGAAAAGTAATTATTCACCTGTGTCCAGGCCTACGTTGGAATACCAGTCACGAGGGATAAACCACCTTGCAGTTGCCGAAAGCCACGCATCACGGACTCACTGTACAGGTTCAGTGCTGTAATGCCCTCCCAAATGTGTAGATCAGCAGTTTTTGGTCCTTCACGTTACATTATATGCTAAAGTTCACGTTCCAATTCTTGACATAAAGTTTGTTCCACTAACCCACGTCCTCAAGAACGTACTTGAGATTATGGTAAGGCCCGACCGGTGAGCTTCATCCCGGCTTTGATTCGCGGAATTTCAAAACTTAGGTCGCTACGCCCCGCCGAAATCGACAAGCGTCGGCACTGCCGACGAGATTGAGTGGCATAGCGGCCCCAACTGGATAAATCGAAACCTTCATCCCGTGAGTCTTTCAAGCTGATAGTTCAAGGGTATATCCCAGAGTGCCATTCCGGGAGTGGCATAGCCGCCCCAACCGGATGAATTGATCCCCTGTGATGTGAGTCTGTGAAGGTGATTCTACTAAATTACATCCCGGAATGGCATAGCCGCCCCAACTGGATTAATTGATTCCCTGTGATGTGAGTCTGTGAAGGTGATTCTACTAAATTACATCCCCGAATGGCATAGCCGCCCCAACCGGATGAACTGATCCTCTGTGATGTGAGTCTGTGAAGGTGATTGTACTAAATTAAATCCCGGAATGGCATAGCCGCCCCAACTGGATGAATTGATCCCCTGTGGTGTGAGTCTGTGAAGGTGATTCTACTAAATTACATCCCGGAATGGCATAGCCGCCCCAACCGGATGAATTGATTCCCTGTGATGTGAGTCTGTGAAGGTGATTGTATTAAATTAAATCCCGGAATGGCATAGCCGCCCCAACCGGATGAATTGATTCCCTGTGATGTGAGTCTGTGAAGGTGATTGTATTAAATTAAATCCCGGAATGGCATAGCCGCCCCAACCGGATGAATTGATTCCCTGTGATGTGAGTCTGTGAAGGTGATTGTATTAAATTAAATCCCGGAATGGCATAGCCGCCCCAACTGGATACACGGCGTCCTCGAATCATCATCTCGGGGAGCCTCCGGAAGAGACAGAGACAGGAATGAAAGGGCCTCTCTCGAGCGCTGAATATTTTCCATGTCTCTACAGTCTAGAGACGCATTCTTCCTCGCAGGAGAGCCCCACCACTCATGCACCAGGCTCATAAATGGCAGTTGATAACTGCGGTTTATGAACCTGATGCAGGAGCGACCAACTGCCAGTTATTGCTGATATTTCATTAGTTATGGGTATCATCTCCTCATCCTTGGCGACAGGGGCATTCATCGTCCTAGCTAGAGCTGATCCTCTCGAACTCCGACTCTCGGAGGGCTACTTGACGCTGACCCTCGATGGGCAGGCTCTACCGCTCAAGGCATCATCCGGTACGAGTAGAAGCTTCGTTTTCTATGGTCCAGAGTATGAGAGAATGTATGGTAGAGGAAGCTGTGAAAAGCAATATCATGGATGCTACTTCTGCCTTGAGGATGACCCTTGTGAAGGCATATCATCTCGAAAGAAATGGAGTGTGCGCTTCGAGGATGGTACCTATCAATATGTTGAACACGACGTCACCCTTGGGATCGGCGAGCACATACTCCGGAACTTCACGTTCGGCCTGGTAATACACTTCCCAACTCCCTACGTGAGAGATCCTATGGCGATACTGGGTCTTTCCTTCGGTCGTCCCCACATTCCTGAGGCGTTCTTGGAACAACTGAAGAGGAAAGGTGTTATAACAACCCTTTCATACTCTGTCCATGTGAATGAGCGAGGACCTGGTATATCTGGTGATCTCATGCTTCATGTACCATACGAGATGAGATCCTCGCCATTTGTCGTCTTCAACGAACGTTTGGCCAGCCGCAAGATAGCCACTTCGATGGGACCAGTTGAACTCTTCGTTCCCGGTGAAGTCAAATCGACTCACTCTAGTAAGAGGGGCGTGCCAGTCCTTCTTGATATGGGGAGCGAATCACTGTTGGTCGAAAAGAAAGTGTTTCACAAAATCATTAAGAAGACCATTAAAAGTATGAAAAACTCCAAACCAGGAGTGAGAAAGTCGAGGAAGGAACTTGCATGCGAAAGTTCCAAGTGGAATGCAACCGATGACGACTCGGTGGTGAAGGAATCAGTTGTTCCCTACTTGCCTGTTGTGGCGTTTACAATTGGAGAATCGCCCGAGACTGTCAATATCAGGATTGAACCCAAGCACTATGTGAATTTCTGTGACGATGCATGCTGTAAACTGGGTATCGCTCCCGTGGACGACAGTCTCGGTCCAGCCGTATTGGGGCATCCGTTGTTTCGCGCGTACGATGTAAAGTTTGATCTCGAGGGTGAGCGAGTGTACTTCTCTCGTGGTGCGAGACAAACCACGTCGTTGACCGGTGCAGAAACTATCGTCATTGAGACCCATGCTAATTGAGGTACGTCGGACCTAGGAAAGCATCAAAATAGTAAATATTTCTGTTGTCTCACGCGACGCATGTAAACAGTTGTTTGATATCGAATCTATTTTGTATAGATATCTATGAAAGATGTACACCCCAAAGGAACCGATGCATTTGAGTTTCAGTTTACCAGCTTCGAATATCTGATCTGTTACAGTCAAGTCGGATATTCATTAGTGCCACTGTGACAATTTACTAGAGAATGGGGAATTACACGATGGGTTGCGAGGATCAGGTGGGCATGATACCAAAGGGCAGACCGACAAGAACGAGGCAGTTACCCTCAACGCCGCGTTAACAACGCTTCTCTACCGCCTCCAGATGCAGTGATGGGCATCGGCTCGATGGATTTGTTGTATCTTATCTACAATTGAGAAGATTGTTTGGAAAAGGGCCTTACATCTGTGAAGCAGACTCGAGACTCGTTGGCTACTCACAAGCTGAGCAGACTCTTTGATATACCGTATCTTTCGTGAACTTCAACCGACGGGAGCATCACGCGACGTTACTTGGCAAACTCGGCTTGACAGTGTCGAATGGACACTTATCAATATCAGGCTTGTCTAAGTCGCTTCCAGCGAAAACCGCTACACAGCAACCACTGATCTGACACTTTCTCCAGGGAAGAATACAAGCAAGGTAGGCTCGGACCACATACGAATCCGTGGTGCTTCAAATCACTGCAGACCTGCTCCTCAGGAGTCATTCTGATCGCTTTCGAATGGCTGGTCTAATGGTCACTCAATGAATGATGGTCCCTTGAATGGTCACTCGCTCGCATACAACTATGTATTTTCAGTGACAGATGTATCGTTCAAGGAGCAGATATGGGACTTAACCGATAAGCGCATTCGACAACATGTTCATTGGAGAGCTTCGGAGCCGTCTCATCACGATCGGCTGGAATTTCATATCGAGCAGTGCGTCTCGAACATACTGCTTGGAAAACTCGGCAGGTTTCAAATCCGGATGATAAGCCCTCAGCAGCTCGGTAACGTTACGGTGACACAGAAGGATAACATCCTCCCGAGTCTCGAGTAGGACGGGTTCTAGTGAAACCTGTTCTTGGGTGGCCAATCACTACCCTGTGTCAAGTAGATGTTTGGAAGGTGTACTAGTTATTCGTTTATGAATAACAGGATGCGCCTACATCCAGTATCACCATAACCATCGTGACGGGAAACCCACCACAAGTTGACTATTTCCCCTCACTAAGTGAGGAAGGATGTGAGTATATCACTATCATTCCTTCGGACCATTTTTCTCATGCAACCATTTGTGTTTCCGAGGAGTCTCCTTCTCATTGAGGAGAATATTCTATCCGAATCTCATATAACGAATCTATACTAACAACACGACACTCCAACGTCAGATACCATGAATCCTTATAAGACTCAATGGTAATATTCTCGAATGAACTCTCACTCACGTTTGCCCGAGCGCAACATTCGCTAGGATTCCGAATAGACTCCCGATGAAAATGCCGTTGGTAAGAGCGAACGCCATGGTATAGCCCGCCACCTCCTGCTCAGCCTTGTCTTGGGAAACGCGCTGTGGCCCATAAACCATAGCAAGAGTAATGCCAAAACCGTTAGTGATTGCCATCAATGCCATCTCAATGTGTTTGAACCAATCGAGTGAAAATGGAGCAATAGACTGATAGACAGTCGTACAGATGAATAATGGAATAAATAAGGCCCGTAATGGGATGAAAACCATAAGAGCTCTCTGAGACAAGTTCAATCCAATTAAAGGTGCAAAACGAGCCACCGTATCGAATACTTGGAAATTGTATATTATTTCTGATACGAAAGCAGTATTATTGGGATTTGACGACGTCCAGAAGACGACCTGCCCAGGGAAAACGACAAAGAGAACTGCCAGGCTTCCCCAGGCGCATAAAGCCATTGGTAGGACTGCGAGAATAATACGATGAACCGGTCTTCGAGTTTGACGTGTTGTGAGTGCATCGTGTTTACGTTTCTCTTCGATCCTCAATACTTCAACCATATAAGGATGTTTTACTGTCCAGCGGTGGAGCATTGGAACAACTATCATCGATATTACAGCCGGGACTATGAAAAATACCAGATTTGGCCAACCGACAGCGTTTGAAGCCCGAGTGGGAATGGCTTTAATAAGCAGATACAATGGCCAAGGTAGCAACCCAGCGACACCTTCCCCGATCATCGTTGCGACTATACATATCTTCGGACACAGCGCGGCCAGTCCAAACGTTGTTGATCCCATCACAGAGAGTCCGAAACCCAGGAAGAAAACACATACCAGAGCTAGGCCGAAACCTAATGGTGCATTGGGGATAGCATTGTTGTCTCCAAATAGGATGGCGACCACACCGAGAAGAACGATTGCGATCGACAACATAACGCAGCCCAGATCAAAGCGGGGTAAAAAGGTAAACTTATTGCCCACCCAGATCAGGATAAGATGAGCTACATTAACTGACCCCGAGTAAATGATGGGCACGCTGGAAGCAAAATTATTGTGGAATTTAGAATCTAGGAATGACAAAGCTGTTAAGACGAAATTCCAAGGAGCCAGAGCTACGAAACCAAGAATGCCATATTGGACCAACAGCCACCTGTCGACCTTATGAGGCATCCCCGAACCATCTGGACAACGGGCAACCTCTTCTTCTACAGTTGCTGACTTCCATCGGGGCGGCGATTTCATAGGAGCATAAACGCTGGTAAAGATGACCTATAGTACACCCCTCCACATATTCTTAGCATATCCGGTTTTTCGACTCGCGAGTATCATCATGCGGCTCAGGGACATATGTACTTATGCTTTACCTGATATGACCTCCAAGTTTCAGGGCCTAACTCTTCGTAGTTAGTGAGAAGTCGAAGACCGGTAAAAAGTTTGCTCCACATATTCTTAGCATACACGTGTTAAAATTGCGCCTCAAAATACCAACTTTTACTGGGGAAGTATATCTATAACTCCGCTCCTGATCTAAT